GATTGATACAGGAACAATTTTCTCGACCAAATCTGCTGCCATTGCTTATTCCATCAGCTCAGAAACCACCCATACCTTTAGCACCGCCCGTAGTCACATCGGAAATTCCACCCGAACAGCGCTACACTACGATGAAAGTCGAAACCGTGAAACCTATCTTGCAAGTAAAACCTCAAAGAAATCTCAGGATTAAATCACCTTTCATCCGTCCTGATCGAACACCTACGGAGGAAGGATTATGGTGGACACCAAAACCAAGTTTTCTTGGTAATCCCGCAAACTCTGTTGCTTTTAGCGAGCCTAAAAAAAAGAAGCCGCGGCTATTACGGAAAGGTTATAAGACGGTGGGTTATTTCTATTTAATACTTTTGAGTATTGATTGGTTTTCTCTATTTATGAATGACGCAAACAATAATTGATCATTCATTATATTTTCAAATTTGGCGACTCGAACCTAACTCTTGATTGACCTGTAAAAAAAACAAAGAAAAAGACGTAGTTCTGGTAGACTAAATAGGTGGTTCTAATGTGTATAAATACTACTAGAATGCAAGGGACCGATTTTCAAAGAAGGAGAATGAGCTTACCACAAAAAAAGCGCTTGGAGATATATGAAATGGCATGCAGCAACGTATACTATTTTTGAAAAATATACAAAGGTTGACACAAGTTTACAAGCGTACTTAGAACACCTAAAAACATTGAACGGTAGAATGAAAAATGTAACTGTGGAAAAGGATGAAACAAAGATAAGTGCATACGTGGTCTCTGAATTTGTTAAACAAAGAACAGAATCAATAATTAAAACAAATTTAATTGAATCTTTCATCAGCGGTGAAAAAAACTCAAACTCGTAAAACTGGACCTCAACTTAGAAGAAATTTAATTCATGTAATTTTATTTAAATACTTCTTAGATACTTAGATGGCCTGCTTGTACCCGTCGTGCAGGCCCCAGCGTTGTTTCCATCCGTTTTTGTCTCTCGCTAGCGTCATCCACGATGTTGATATTGAACTGCGGCGGCGACGTTCGCAAGGTCCAGATCATCACCAGCTGATCAGCTGGTCCATCCGAGCAACGACCACTTCAGCCAATCTGAGACCTCTTTCGAGGAAGTTGCTTTGCGAAAAATCCATTCCAAAGTTCTTAGTGTCTATCTTTTTTTCTGTCCTTCTCATTAT